TTTTTTTTTTTTTTTTGAGTTGGAGTATCACTCTGTCACCCAGACTGGAGTGCAGTGGCAGGCTCCTGACCACTACAGCCTCGACCTGCTGGGCTCCGGCAATCCTTCAGCCTCAGCTTTCCAAGTAGCCAAAACTATAGACGCACGCTACCATGCCCGGCTAATTTTTGATTTATTGTAGAGATGAGGTCTTGCCCAGTTGCCCGGGTGGGGCTCAAACCCACGGGCTCAGGCAATCCACTCACCTCAGCTTCCCAAAGTGCTGGCATTACAGGGTGAGCCACCGAGCCCGGCCATCTCTTTAATTTTGGATATTAAATTTCCTGTAGAACAAGAAAGATTTATATGTTATATTAAAATTATACAGGAAGCATTTGCAAGTATAAAAGAGTGTTAATTTTCTTTGGTTTATATTTATATGTGTCATTGGTATGGGTTCCAAAGTTGTATGATATTCCTATAATTCTGATATGTCTTCATATATGTTATCAGTAATAATAATAACGTTAAGTTGTTATTTAGCACAGACAAACAATTCTTATAACTTTTTTGTTGAAAGTATTGCTGATTCTTTTTGTTTTTTTGAAATCAAAAAAAATTTTCTTTTGATCTACTTACTGTTTTTGAATAAACTATGTTCTTGTGAGCAAAATTTAAAGCATATTTCTTTCTCTCTACCTGATTTATCCAGAATTTGAAAACTATTTGTACATATTGATTTATGGCAAATATAGTTATTTGCATAAGTTTAATAAGAGTCTGCCTTCTTTTGTAAAAGTATGTGATTGAAGACTCTTGTCATTTTTCCAAGGCTTTGGCAGAATGACATTTCAAAGCACAGTGCTTTGAGGAGTCAAGATTGAGCTCTGTTAGGAACCTGTAAGGCTGGTTGTGGTGGTTCACACCTGTAGCCCCAGCACTTTGAGAGGCTGAGCCAGGAGGATTGCTTGAGTCCAGAAGTTTGACACCAGCCACACACACACACACACACACACACACACACACACACACACACACACCCTCTTAAACAGAACACCAGGCGCGCGCACACACACACACACACACACACACACACACACACTCTTAAAAAAATACCCTCTTAAACAGAACACCAGACACACACACACACACACACACACACACACACACACACACACACACACACACACACACACACACACGCACCCCTCTTAAAAAACGTTTCTGATTGGCTGGAACAGAACACCAGCCAATAGCCCTTTACCTATTGGCCCGCAGTTGCCAGGGCTGAGAGCAACGTGTAGCCATTGGCTGAAGAGCATAGAAGGAATCTAGGCTTTCCCGGTTCTGAGACGTGCTTCGCAGCCAAGGTTTAGAAATAATACTGTGAGGCCCCCCAGTGACCCAGTCTGCGACTGACAGGGCTACGGTTGACGGCTCTGTCCTCAGTGCCTCAGTCCCAACCATAGGCAGACCCGCTGACCCAGAAGCGTTTGTAATTAAAGGTTTGTGTGAAAATAAAAAGACGAACAAGGGTAGCTCTGTAAGACTCGCCGATTGGCTCTACAAGGTCACTTTGCATCTGTATCTCCTGGCGGGTTTTTAGCAGCTTATGCATAAAGAGAACTAGAATTAGGAGCTTTTCAAGAGCAGAATCAAAGTTAATATTCGTTTAAATAAATGTCTTTGTAATCAAACCTTGGGTCGAATAACTCCTACTCAGCTTTTAAATTGGGGTTCATTGTGGGATGGGGCATTTCAAAGGTCGTTGTCAAGGTGTTTGGAGTCCCAAAATATCTTCAGACGACCTCACATGTGTTTACGTAGATAGGATCATCATATGTACAGTTAGGAAACATAAATTTTGCATTCCTTTCTTGAAATTGTTGAACAGTTTCATGTTGATGCCTTTGTAGTTCCTCTTGTATTATCATATTGACTATTTCCTACCGGGATATTTGGAAGTTTTTTTCTTACTGTTTGTAAGAGCTTTTTATACATTATTTAAATAATTGTAACCCTTTGTCATGTTACAATGACATGTTTGTCTTCTTTTTACTCTTTAGAAAGTGATTTCTTTTTGAAAATAGTTTCTTAGCCGGGCGCGGTGGCTCACGCCTGTAATCTCAGCACTTTGGAAAACTGAGGTGAGAGGATTGCCTGAGCCCGGGGGGTTTGAGACCAGCCTGGCCAACTTGGCAAGACCTCATCTATTCGATAAATGAAAAAAATTAGCCGGGTGTGGTGGCGCGCACCTGCAATTCCAGATTCTTGGAAGGCTAAGGAGGAAGGATTTTCTGAGCCTTGCAGGTCGAGGCTGCGATGAGATGACTGTGAGCGTACCACTGCGCACTCCAGCCTGGGCGTCTGAGTGAGACTCCGACTCAAAAAAACAAAAAAAGAGAGGATAGTTATTTTATTTCGATTGGCAAATAAAAATTGCATATACTTATTGTGTACAACATTATTTCAACATATTGAAACATGTACAGATGGTCCCTGACTTAATGAAAATTTGACATGATTCTTCGACTTCGGGATGTTGCAAAAACAATATGCAGTCAGTAGACACCATAACTATATGGTAAATTGAGGAGCATCTGTGTGCACTGTGGAATGGCCAAATCAAGGTAATTAACATATGCATTACTTCATATACTTAATGTTAGATCAAAATCCCCACAGGGCCTCGAAAATGTTAGGGCAGACCAGGCAGGGGTGTCTGAGATCTGTTGTCAAACAAAACATGCAAAGAATTGTCAGAAGTTAGATTGGAAAATATAGTTTATTTAGAAAGTAAATTAGAGAGAGAAAAAGAAGATTCACCTCTCCAAGGTCAGGGAGGGGGCCTAAGGCTTAGGAAAACAATGGTGGCCATAGCTCAAAGAGCAGCATGGCCAGATTAGAGTTTAGCAAAGCAATGGGGAATGGTTGCTTGAGGTTGAATGCTTTTAAACCTTCCCTTTGATGGGGAGTAGGTCATTAAGGTGATTGGATGGTGGTCTTTTTTATGTTTTCACAAAGGGACAAGTGAGCATAGGTACTGATGTCGGGTGATGGACTACAGACAGATGGGTGGGTTAGTCACATGATTGTTGCCATGTTGGGTGGGGGGCTGTGTCAGGAAGGTTATGAAGAGCTGATTAGGTTAACTTGTTTCTTATACAAATACTTGGAATAAAAAAGCTAATTAGTACAAAACAACTGGGGAGGGGTTGTAAAACAATTATCAATAGCTACCTCTGAGAAACCAGTTCTGTCCTTGGCTAGTGATTAGAGGGTAAATTAAAGTGAACTGTTAGAAGAACATGACAGAACTAGGCAGTGTCAGAATGGCTGCTCATTGAGTGTGTTGACTCCATCTTAAGTCCTTTCACTTAACATTTTTTGTGATGAGATGTTGTCTTTTAATTTAGTTCATTGTATCTTTTGCTTTTAGAACTTAAAATGGAATGTAATAAGTTAATTATTTTCCACTGTGAATATTGTGACACTCCATTGAGCTCCAAACACTATTTGCTGGAAATGGATGTGGTAAAGTGTTGTGGTTTTTGAATTACTGAGAAGAGTTCAAAGGAAAGAAGGGTATCGTCATTCTTGGGCTAAAATATTGTGACAGCCAAGGTGGATTACTGTCATCTATTGTACTGTGTTTCTGTCTTCAAAACTGGCTTAAGATAGAAATCCCACTTTGTTCTGCCAGTTTACTCCTTTCATAAATGAGCTGCTTGTGTATAGTTTCTCATGAGTGTGGAGGCCACAAAATACGATCCAACTACCAGGATGAGAGCCCTTATTACTTATTACTCAGCATTAGAGTATTTATCTTCAATCTCTTCCAAGTGCTTCTCAGTTTCACTGGAGACATATAACTGTGATGTACAAGCAATCCTTCTTTTATCTTCTTAGCCTTGTTCCAGAATGTGGGCAATGTGGATTCCTCCAAGCTTGTAAATGCTCTCATTTATTTCAAAGTATTTTATTATTTCAGTTTTCTCTTCTAAACTTCAGGCTTTCTTTTTATTCACTACTTGAGATTCTTATAGCCAGGATGCTTACACATGTTTGAGATAGTATATTCAATATGCTTCTCATGAAATAAACACAAACTAGGAAGAATAGTGTGCACACTCAAGGCAACAGATGAAGAATTGGGCAAGTATAAGAAGATGGCATAGGTGCGTGTTGTATATTTTACCATAGGTCACTTCATTCAGTCAGTAGTGTTGTGTTTTCTTTCTTTCTTTCTTTTTTCTTTTTTTTTTTGAGTTGGAGTCTTTC